CGAAGGTTTAACTGGGCTGACGCACATAATCAACTAATTCAATAATCCAACAGGAATCCTAGAGCGGGGGCAGAATAACATGGGACACTGTGATTTATATACAGCGGGTGCGAAATACAACAAATATATTTGCCGTACATTGCATCGAGGTTGAGGACTTGCCTTGTACTCGTATCCTTGTAGCAACAACTTAATGCGCAAAAACAAACAAAAATGCGATGGCCATAAGAAGATGTGTTTGACCAAAAGCAGGGCCAAAACATGCTAAAGAGAAATGTTACGTTAGATTTCTTTCTTTATAAAGCCCAGAGTAAAAATTGTTTAGCATGTCGTTTGCTATTCAAACAATTTGCATATCCTTTTAGTGCAGCGAGCGTACTTAAGAAAGCAAAACAAGCTCAACAGCACCAACAAAAAAGTCCTGGCCAGGCATACCAGCACGACAGGCAACCGAAATCCAATGTCAGCTCAAGAATTTGCAGGCTAGTGAGTGAGCTATAATAAAAAAAAAGTCGGGTGTCAACGACTGCGCAATACTCTGTTCACAGTGTAATTACCACTTAAATCGATCGAAAAGAGTCTTCCTGTTTGACTTGGTCGCAATGTTGATATATGGAGATTTTTGTTAACTTGTCTTAAAAAAGTTGACTGTCTTTATTTTTCGCAACTTGTTTCAAGGCGGACACATCTTCTGATGGACGTATAAAGCCAATATACTCTTTCTTACGTCAGAGCGGGCATAAAAAAAAACCGGCGTCGAATTTTATTTAACACGTACGAGGCGGTCAAAGAATGTGATGCTTAAATGCCACAGGGGCACGGCGCATCGGGGCGATGTTTTAAGGCATTGAAGTGAAAAGTGAATGGAGGCAACTCCTGGTGCTATGGCAGTGTCGCCGTACGTCCTTGTTCTCGGCCAGTTGCCAGCCGTAATATTTATGCGCAGACGTTGCTCAATAAGCTGCTCAAGGATTTATTAGCCAAATGGACAGATTTGACTGGCTGACTGGCTGTGCGGCTGTGTGCCTGTGCCATATGTGAAGGTTGTCGCTAGTCCAACTCGGCAGTGGTATCTGCCATGTGTTGCCTTAAAGTGCACTGAGAGAAATAGAATTCGAGTTTAGATGGGAATATGTGTTTGTTCTTTGTGAAATCCTTAACTATACTAGGGAGTAGTACATAGAGGGTTTTATAATTGTATCTATGAAGCTGAATATGATACGGAAGCATTTCCGGTAAATGGTATTACATCTTCTTTGAATGTCGGCATTTAATGATACTACGGAATCTTTAAGATTTGAATAAATGCTAAAAGCTTCTGGCAGTGTAAGAACTTTAACACCAAATTATCTATTTTCATTGTTTGATACTCAATAAAATCCTATGTATCGAATGTTCCTGCAGACTTTGAGCCAACTGTTTGATAAATGCTTTCAAAATCTTTGCAATGAATGGCAATTTTTCAAGATTTACAACTTCAAACAGAATGCGAGTGTAAGATAAGCAGTTGCCAACCCGAATATCAGAGTGGGTATTCGGAAACAGCTGGTCAAGTTGAACCATGAACTTTGGTATACTGCAGCTAAAGCTAATTTTCCGTAACTTTCTCCAACGAAGCTTAAGTGGCCGCTGCCTTGACCTTTCGAATTGTCACGGCAACGAGCGTTGCTAACATTTAAGCAATATCTTATGAGCAACTATTATTATATATTGGATGGGGATAAAAGGGTACGATGGTTTAATGCTTAAAGGCTGATTATGTATAGTCATTTCGTAAATAGTCTAAAGCATTTCAGTGGTGCCGTATAAATCGGACATGCAAGGAGCCCCTCCATTTGAGGCGCCAGATTATTGCTTAGCACCGCATATAAAAATGGATTTGGCTACATTTAGCTCCACATTTGTATGGCACTCTAACCTGACCATTGGCAAAGTTGATGGCAAACCGGTTCTTAAATTAGTATTTTTGAAAGTCGGACGAATCTAATTATCTAGTCATTGGTGCTTGACGAGCAATAAGCATTAATAAGTATATTTTATTTATTATATAGTGTTCACATTTTAACGTACGAGTGGGTTCGGTGTCAAACCAATATCGCTTCGACTGTGCACTCCAACAAAAGTTTTTCGCTATTTTTCCTGTACCTTCCATAGAAAAAGCTGCCTCCAATCCGGTAGTCACCCAGGTACAAAAATGATGGAATTAGATTTCCATTCAAATGCCAATCCCGCAGGTAGTAGTAACCCGTCTGTATGGGACAACTGGTGGCAAAGTTTCCAACCTTCAGCATGGTGAGGTACCAGCGACGATATAGTGATTCTTGCGAGCCTTTGAGTAAAACGCAGTAGTTTATATCATGCTGAAATATGCTTTGATATGATTTGCTTTTGGACACACGAAATTCAAAACTCAAATGGGCCTTTAGGCCAGCAGTCAGTATCCTTACAAGAGTCATATCCATTTTAACTTTACCATTAACGACCTGCAGTGTAAAATTGGAAAAAACATCTCGTTTGTATGTACAGTTGCCGGTTTTAAAAACCATTTTGGTTGCCTGTTGATATTTTTTAATTAGATCATTTTGTGTTTCAATAATGTTTTTTACAGTAAATACCAAAATATAAGTTGTTAATCCTAATAAAGCTATTGCCATAAACAATTTAATGGTCTTTGCAAACATTGCGTGTGACGCGACTGTAGACTTTGTTCGTAAACTGTTTCAATAATTTTTAGAATGGTTTTGCGAATGGAATATAGCTAAGTTTACTGATGCGTGAATGCTTTTTAATAGTACACAAATTTTTTTTTATATGTATAAGTGGCGTATTAAGAAGGCTTATTGTTTTTATACACTAACACAGATAATTTGCTAATATTACCAAAACTATATTTTCTAAAAATTGATGACAAGATTTTGCTCACGCATTCATATCAAAGCTTTACTTTGATACTCATTGGGGCCAAGTATGCCAAGAAGGTTTCTCAATAAGTTATCTGATCGTGTGGAGCCTGACATATGTATATACTCGCTAAGTGTATGAATGTCAACATATATTGTTGAATATGAGTATGTATGGATGAATATGTTAAATGTATACCTAAGGTCCTATACAGCAAGGAACATAGTATCTTTTTAACTAAAGTAATCTCTACTGCGATATTTTTTAGTAACATATCATGATTTATTTATAAATTCTGTTTTTTCATGTCGAACAAAATATGTTTTCTGCTACTTAGGAAATTTTCCCCATAAGCAGGGTTGCATTTATCCAAGACGTGAAGTACATGAGTATGGGTAGTCAGTAAACTTGTATTAATTTGTATTCGTTTCTGATTTAATATCAGTAAAAATTTGAATGTTTAATGAGGAAAATGAAAGTGTTTTATAAGTTTAAGTATTTGTCTTTATCGTTTATCCCTCAAAGTAGTGCACATTAATTTCTTACTGTCTTAGATGTTTATTTAAATGTATCTTAAATTTAATGACAATATGTCAATAGTAAACCTTGAGTAAATAATCTAAGATAATATAGAGTAAAGAAAATGATACAATTCTAAAACCTTGGTGGGCCCCTAGTCGATGGTTACGATAACATTTTGGACACATTTTTGCAAAAGTAAACCCAAAATGAATAAGACACATGTGCCATAAACGAGAAGGTTTTTTAATATAATTTGTATTCTCCATTCCTTTACCCGTCTAATGGCTTATGCGGTAATCGTAGCATCAGCGCTGCAGCTCATTATGAAGACTTCATCGCTGCTTTTGTACCTGCCATAGAAATTGTAGGTCTCTAAACGATAGGAGCCGCCTGAAATAAATGGCGGCACCAGACTGTTGCCAAACTGCCAGCCTCGTAGGTAATAATGGCCGGGACTTAATGGGCACTGTCGCAGAAAGTTACCATATTTGAGAAGGTTCATGTACCACTTCTTGAAAAGATTGTTCTTGTACACGTTAACAATATTACACACATTTACACTGGTTGAGAAAATGCTCTGAAAACTCTTGGAGTTAGGCACTCGAAGCTGAAAGTCCAGTCTAGCATACCAACCCTTTATTAATGGTTTCTTTAGAAACATATCTAAATAGACCTTGCCATTGTCTAATACGAAGGTAAAGTTATCAAAGTAGTCGCGGTTAAATCGGCTCTCTCCTACTGTCAACGTTATGTGTTTCTGGAAGGAGGTGAACAAATTTTGGAATATATTTTCATTTAAAGACCTTAAGATGACTCACAGCCTTCACTTTGTTGGCGCGAAGAGCCAGTAGGAATATAAAACACCAGACAAGTCTCTTAGCATTGAGAAACATTAAGCTCCACATTGCTGTGGCTCTCTCCTCTGACTGTTGTTAAAGTTGACGGCAAGCCAGTTCTTAAATTGGTATATTTTTAGTACCAACCGAATTCAATTATCTAGTCTTTTGGTGCCTAACGATCAATCAGACATAATATATTTATTAAATATTTTTACGTACGAGTGCGTTTCGTGTCAAAATAATATCGCTTCAACTGCGCGCTTCACGCACATATTTTTGAGCTTCTTTTGCTTCCTTTCAATCCAGTTCATTTTTATTTTAATAATGTTTCCAACAAAATATTATTTGTTAATCCTATTGCTATAAATAGTTTAATCTGAAAACGTTACGTGTGACGCCACGGTAGACTTTATTTGTAAAAATCAATTTTCAGCAATTTTAACAAGAGCTTATGCCCGTATATTAATAAATGGCACACTCGAGTAAGACTTCAATAGGCATTATTGGCTTCCGATCTGTATAATATCTTAAGGAATATAGCAAGCCGCAAGGTTGTTTCTTCCAATTATCCTGCAGTACACATTTCGAAAACATATTATAATACCATTTGGAAATAAATATTACTATACTGCAGAAACAATGGGCTAGTATGTTTATTAGTTAAGTATTACATTGAGCAGGAATAACTGATGACCTCTACAATTTTGTTAAAAACAACAACATACACCAATTGTATAGTTAATCTGTTTTCAATATTGCGAAGATAGTCATGTCCAATACAAAATCCTCTTGCTTTGTCTTGAGTTTTCCAAAAAAGAAGTGACTAGAGACACGATAATCGCCCGCGTACAAGTACTGAGGCACCAGTTGTGACTCCAGCTTCCAGTTATGCAGAAAATAATGGCCCTCGGGGACTGGGCAGTTAAGCATGAAGTTGCCATGATTCAGCATACTCTTGAACCAAGTTTTAAAAATATTATTCTGGAGTGCTGACACAATTCCACAAGTGTCTAAAACATGGGCAAAGACGCGCTGGTAATGCTTTGCTTTGCCCAAACTTATAGAGAAGTCGACAAGCGATTTGAAGCCGCGGTTCAAGGGCTTCTTGATTATCATGTCCAGATTCATTGTGTTATTGATGATGCTCAGGGTGAAGTTTTCGAAATAGTTTGGGTTGTACTTATACTGTCCGTTTTGGATGAGAACGCTAGACTTTACTATATATGAGTAATTAAAATCCGTTAGATTTAAAATAAAAACTCACGGCTTCGGCGACAGACAGCTGATTGACCAAGAGTAACAGAAATGTTTTAATGCCATAAATGTAAATAATGAACATTTTTATATTAACAACAATATTAAAATGATCTTTCAAATATGTGTTCTGGACATGAGACTGCCGACTAACAACTCTAACAATTGTTTGGGCTAAACTAATTTTAATTGCCTTTCGCAATATACAAATTAGGGGTGTAATCAATATTATACAAAATAACTAGCGATAGGTTTCAAACATAATTGATTTTATTGTAAATGATAACTATATTGATTTAATTTCAACTTCAAGCATACAGGCAAGCAAAAAATCCGGATCTCTATTTCCCTTCTTGCTTTGAAACAACTTGGTCGTAATGCGATAGGCGCCGGGAAAAAAGAACGATGGAATATCAAGCTCAGAACTATTGTAATCTCTTATGTAGTAATGATTCTCTGGAAATGGGCAATTACGAAAAAAGTTACCATACAATCTGAATGATGAGATCCATTTCTTAAACATATTGCCTTTACGGTTGCTCAGTATGTTGCACATGTCTAGAGAGTATTCATAAAAGATTTGATAGGTGTTCGATTTATATTTGCGTGTGAAGAACTCCATATTTAGCCGTAAGCCCGAGTATAAGGGCCTTATAACGTCCACATCCAAATTCATTTTGGCATTCGTCAATTCAATTGTTAAATTACGCAGATAGCTTCGATTATAATCATTACAATTGGGCGTTTTGGAAAGAACAGCTTTGGTCATCTATAAGAGTTACGAAAGTGCGAATAACTGACTGAGTCTGAAAATCAGTGTCGTTGGATTTGTTTTGAAGAAATGTTTATATTTACCATAGTTGCACGTTGGACGAGGCACAGAAAAATCGAAAGCGCTGCTAAATACTTCATACTTGTTGTGAAGAATTTCATAGCAGAAATGAAACGGACTGTCGATTGATAAAGAAATTCAACTTGAACACACATGTGGCAATTTTTCGGCAATTGAGTTGTATAATGATTTTTACCGAAATGTTGATCATCTAAATAATTGTATTTATTCGCTTTTATGTATTCATATGATTTGTAATAGCCCACATTTGTATTTTTTTGTGGTGTACATGCTGAACTGCTGATTCTGATCAAGAATACACTTATATATAATTTATGGGGTTGGAAATGTCTCATCTAATGCATTACGATGTACCAAAGCCAAAAAGTATTCTTCAAAATCAGATTTCTTTGTGCAAAGTGTAAATTTGTAAGTGTGTTTAATTATTGCTGAGTATGTGCTATAATTAGTGAAGGGGGACTCTTACAAAAAGTAAATAGACAAACTTAAAAAGTTTGCACAGAAACTTTTGAACACTGCGCAATTGCAATTAAGAGTTTATAACTTCCTCAATAAGTTAAATAAATAGCAAACAGTCAATTGCTCAAAACCCGCAGCCCAATAGCATCGGCAGCCCCATAAATCAAATAAAATGCTCACGAAATCAAAGCGGTTGCCACCTCGCAGTCAAAAGCGCATTTAAAATTCGCCAACTGTCAGAGGGAATACAATAAACACGACGCAAGTCAAAAACATTTCATTGCAAATATATTGAATATTAATTTTTTGTTGTCTCGTCTCTGCTATGCTGTGATGGCCCATTTGACGGGCCATTTTAATTCAATTTGTGAAATTTGGCAAAAATATGCAAAATTCGAGTGCTAAAAAATATGAACAAAATTGCTCATGACAAATGACATGATAGATATACGTGGAACGACAAAGCTAAGCCAATTGTATTCAATTGTTATAGCTAAAAACAGAAGTTTACTTCAAGAATTACGTAGAATTAAAGTACTCAATATTTATAATTTATTAGGTACTATAAAAGTTTTTTATTATATAGGTTGTAAGTTGTACATTATATATATTCAGAGATTGGAACCGATCATAGTTGTAAGCGAATAGAACCGATTCGATATCCGTGTCTGTCTTTCTGCCTGTGTGAACGGAATTATTCTTGTGGATATTAAAGCTATATGTTCGTGTCTATCTGCCTGAAAGGGCTAACTTTGTTCTGCGATGCCAGTTGACAGTTGGCTGCGAAAAGCTTCAGGTGCTAACGTTTGAGAGCTAGAGTGTGCTTAACTACTGTCCTATACGAGAGTCTACATATTAAATGGTATATCCAAATCAAGTCCTAAAATAAATTTGTTTTAATATTTTAAGTGTAAGACACGATATCCATATCGAACAACTTATAAGTAGGCGTTTTGTATGGGAGAGTAAATAACTACCTGTTGTAGCTTGAGTTTATACAAAAGAACATGGCCGAATGTACGCTTCACATATTCTTTATTAGATCGGGAATGTCTACTTTCACCTAGAGGCCAGAGTCTAAAAACGACTGCCGTTGCATTTATATGTTTCCCTCCATCGACTACTCTCATCTTGCACATGTATGCATGTATTTATCTATGTAATTTTTAGTATTATTAATTAAAATAAAAACTTATTAATATTTATATGTACTCATATCCTTTTTATTTTCTTTTTGTTAGAAAACCCATCAGAATGCATTATGACTACTTATAACGCGGTAAGTGTCCATTTCTTTATTTTACTAGTATTTCTCACATACTAAATAATTATAGCTTTAACAATAATAATGACGTCCATAGGTAATAAAATGCCTGCAGACATAATTCAGGCCTTTTTCATCTGTTTCTGCGGGCAGGAAATTCAAATTTTTAAATTTAGTTTTGCCAGACTTTCGATTGGAATTTACGAAATCTTTGAAACTCGCATTCATAAAACAAAGTTCCAACCATTTTCCTTCGAAGAGGGTTGTGTCTTACTAAAAGTGTAATATTCATAAAGATCCTTTAAGCTTGAGTCCAAAACGTTGGCTTTTTTTCCACCAATAGAATGGAAAGTGAATTGTTGAGGCTTTTCTTTTCCATACTTGCGGGTGGAAATACCTAATATTGTATTATATCACTTTAGGCTCGATTTAAAGGTGAAAATCTATAAATGAGAGAACATATTCTGAAGGTGTTGTTTGCGCTTATTAGCAAATGTATTGCTTTTCACTACATTTAAGAAAAAACCGTTAGACAAATTTAAGAAATACCATTGAAACATTAAAAGTGCTTGTTTAAAAAAGAAACTGGTTAAATTGGAGTTGCATGAATTATTTGGTTTAGCTCGTCTTGGGCAGCATGGCGAAAATACCGGGCTTTAGATTGCTGACATCTTGAACATTGAACTCGCCAGAAATGTGATCGTTCATGATCACCGTGCGCTTCTTGTTGGCATCCAGATGCAGGGCCTCAAACTGAATATCAAACTCGAGTTCAGGCAGAATGGCCGTTGTTGGATCTTCTGGCCACCAGAACTTGTTGATGTAGTATGAGCCCTGTAATTTTCGATTAAAGCGTAAGTGTCGAAATTTGTATTTACCCTAAAAGAGGCGACTGTACAATATACGGAAGCCTGAACGCACAAAACTGCGACTCACCTTGGCGATCGGACAGCTATCAACAATGTTGCCGTATTCACGTATGAAACCGTGCACAAAACGGCCCACTGGTGATTTGTTGGCAAAGCCGAGGATTCGGCAAACATTTATGGTGGTGTTCAGAGTGGTTGTGTAGTATGGATCCAGTTTGTTAGATATACGCACTTCCAAGTGCACATCCACATCGTGCAGCTCCTGGTGCACTTCCATGGAAAAGTTCAAATGCGGATCCGAATTGTCGTAGGCCACCTTGTGGCTCACCATCTTCTCGTCACTCCAGATCTTGATATCCTTGAACTTGGGCCGCATCATTTTCTGAAGAATACAAATTGATCTCTTAAAGTGTCATCATGATATGATTATATTGATCACCCACCTCAGCCAAACCGCCATGGCAAAGCGCCAAAAGGATTTGCAGCAAAATGACACTCTTCAAAAACATGACTTATGATGTCTGTTGATTGTAAAAAAGCCTTCCGGCTTTTATAGCTATGGGAATCCATCACCAAATTGCAAATATAATTTGTATCGATGCTATCGGAAATATGGCTTTAAATAAAATGCCTCAATGATTTCCAAATCATTTCAAAGTCAGAAAAGCACTTAGTTGACTCAATTTGCCATGGCAATGTGCGATCCGATCAGACTTTTTAATGTCCATGACAATTTGTGCTTCATTGACGCTTGACCCCTGATCGTTGTTATATTATGGCTTATGTCTAATTGAAAAAATTTCAGTAAATAATTGAATCAAGATGCGTGCACAGTTGAATCAATTTTTTCACGTTCTGACAATCGTGCTACTAACGTGCTTTCCTGTGGCTTTGGGCTGGGTAAGTCCAGAGAGTAGACGATACAATTATGAGTTTCCTCCATAAGATACAAAGTTGAAGTTTTCGAAATTGATGCGTTTATCAAGAGGCGCAGACAGACATAATTTGCTTGTACTTTTTAGCCATCTTCTATGTGTTCAGGGTATAAACAGACTTCTGTTATTATTTTGAAGATACTTTCATTTGTTTTCAGCGCTCGTTCAAGATTGTTTTTATGCGCTTCGACTACGAGGCCAATCCCAAACTGGTTGATGTGAAAATACAATTGCAAAACAATAGTGAAAGTTCATTAAATATTGTTATCAACACCTTAGAGATTTTGGACGATATTGAGCTGGCAGCTAGTGTTGCGCTAGAGACGCAGCCGGGCAACTTCACCAATCTCATCAGTAGGACCCTGAATTTTTGCAAGATGTTAAAGGATCGTGACGCAGAGCCTTTGGCACGCGCAATATACCAGGATATAATGCAACATGGAAAATGGTTTAAGGAGTGTCCCATACAGAAGGACACCTACACGCTGCAGGATTATGCAGTGGATGAGGAATTGCTACCCAGCTATTTGCCAGAGACTAACTTCAAGCTAAAGCTACGTTTAACCCAGCATAAGGGTGTTCAGATATTCAAGGGAATGCTTTTTGGACGAGTTGACAAGTCCAAAGGCTTCAACAACCTTAAAATGTTCAGCATGGGCTAATTGAGCCAGTGTTTGAATGCATCATATTGTGGGTGTTCATGTACTTACTGTTCAATAAAGGTGTCTTGAATGTTATAAATTTGTCAACACTTCGTTCTTCAATTTAAATTATAGTCATCGTGCAATATGCGTACAATATCTCCAGTACTGTCTCTGTCTGCTTTGTTTGTCTGATTTTAGTATGCAAAATGGCTTTTGTCGCACAATTGACGTCATTGTCGGCTATGAGGCGTCATCGTCATTGGGTAGTCGGACGCGTTGTCCTCAGCAGCCAGGCAGTGGCTGCGGGAGCGGCAGCGGCAATGGCAGTGGTAGAGTCACCTCCATCGTCACGTGTTTGCCTGCTCGACTGCGAAATTCGCATGTTTACCCGACGGTGACAAGCTGTCTGCAGGCAGCGAATTGATGACGCTGATAATAGCCACCAGCGGCCGAGGACTGGCGGATGCCGAGGCGAAGATGGTGACGGAGACGAAAACGGAGACGGAGGCCAAGACGGTGATGTACCCCGATGAGAAACAGACGACAATGATTTAGAGCGATTTTGTAGCATGTCATGTGTTTTGGGGGTTTGAAGCACTCATGTGTTGATTGGACTGATATCGTTAGGAGCATAAATTAAGGGTTAGCGGCGATGTTTTAGCCACTGTTGTTGTAGCTAGATACAACAGAGACGACTCCATGTTAAATAACGTCATGCATTTAGCCAGAATCTGATCTTATGAGCTGCACATTATTCATGGCGCATTACATTGTTAACCAAGCCACGTAATGGAGCCTACGAGCTAGATATATAGAAATGCTCGTAAAGTTTGCCGACTCTTTTCAAACATAATAAAAACTTGCAAATAGTTGACTACTTTTCTTTCTCTCTTTGCACATTTAAAATGTATTTCAGAAAACAAGCAACAAGACCGAAGAATCTGTTGAGGAGGGTGTGCAGCAGGCTTTCTTGACTATGTTCTATACTGTCTGTAATTAAGGATGCACTGCACATCTTTTTAACCAAAAGTCGTTGACAGCACAGTAATGTCTCGTTAAGACTCGTGAGTCAGCGGCCGCCAGTGCAAAAAAAAATAAAAGGGGGAAAATTAATTTATCTAAGCTCACGAGTACCCGCATAAAGAGGGCTATAAATTGTCGCACAGGCTTCGAAAAGTGCAATAACTTAGAAAAGTGCGAATTCTCATACATATATTGTACATATATTTGTCTACAGGTCACTCTTTTTTTTATATATATTTCAAACCTTCTCTTCACAGTTGCGAGCTCATGTCGAGACCTTATTTGAATAATAGACGAGCGGCATTTGTCTCTGATCCATCCCATCATTGCCCAGACCCGCTTCTGCTCAAATTTTTATTCAACGCGGCATTGATTGCCTTTTATATAGTTTTATTATTTGTACGACGGTTGTTATAATTTTGTCACGAAATGTGTAACGCATGAAAGAAATCAACACGAAAACCACTGAATACATATATACATTATTTATTTCACTTCCTCCGAATCTGTGCAAAAAAGTCAGGACTGTTTCAAAAACTATTATCTATTATCTACTATTATCTAAAGTATAATATTTCTAGTTAACTTCAATGAAAAGTGTTTTTTTTTTTTTTTTGTCGCCCAATATAATAATTTTGTATTAGTAGTCCTGATTAGCGTATTAATTTGAATTGAATTTTTTTTCCATATACTAAGATTCGAACACAAAAATCGATAACTTAGCCGACTGGTAAAACCGACTGCCCAATACTCTGTTTACCTTTATGACCCAAAAGTCACTTGAAAGTAGTCAATGAGATCCTGGAGACGAATATTTTACCTTTCATCTTTGGGGATATCAGCACACCTTTCTCGTCGGCCCCTACTAAATGCGAACAAAATTTGTTTCTTACATTCTCCCCTGAATATATAGACGCGTAAATATTTCGAGTTTCGAAAAGTGCTTCCACACGGATGTTGCTGAATTTCGTTAATGGAAAAAAATTAAATTGGACAATTGGTCCGCCAAATGACGCCATTTATGTTTGGCTTAAATTGAGCAAATTAAATTTGTAACAAAAAAATGTTAATTTTGTCATACCCAGCACGGTAAAAACGGGTATAAACGCTTTATGCATTTCTATGGCATGATCCACAATACATAACTTTTCCGATGTAGCAAGCGCTTTGGTTTGTTTTTCATGTGTATGTATAGATGTTTCATTTTTCCGGCAGCTTGCCAGTAGGTACAGGGTATGTTCAAGTAGACTATTTTCGGGTACTATGCCATATTAAACTTTATTTTCTTATTTTATGCAGTCGAATTTCAATTGCTGACACTTTAATGAATTTCATTGAATTTGTGTGGCAAGCTTAGAGATATGCATTTTTTACAAATCAACATCATTGGCGAATTTAAATAGAAAAAAATGAAAAAACAAAATAAAGTTTTATTGAAATCGACTTAAATTCTATAAATACATAATAGAGTTATAAAAAGTGCTTAAGATCCGTTTTATCATCTATGATAATTAAATTCATCTCACATACAATCAGATGTCTATCCACTATTCTAAGTATATTGTTACAAACGGCTGAGCAATACTCTGTTTACAGTGCATTAAAAATGTGAAAAAGGTTATTTGAAATATAAGGTTAGTGGGTTTTGTTACAAAACAAAATATTGATGCTTTGCGATTGTGATCATGAATTTTTGGCTCTATCTAGCTATCTCTAAAAATCTATGGAAGGTACCGATGGGCAGGCAAACGACCAGACATAGCATTAAACCAATATGCCATGTTCGGCTTGTGAACAGAGCATCAATATCTAAAATCCGTCTATAAATTGCGGATAAGCAGAGTTCCACTTGGAATTTCCGAATATAAACTATGTGAGGTAAAACAAAAGCAAAACTAAACTGAAATCAATGCATTGTGAAACATTTAAGACAACCGGATCAATGGGAGCAAATCGAAAAAGATTTGTAAGCAAATGAGTTGTAGCCAAGTAAATTTACAAAAAAATAAAAAAAAAACAGAAGCACAATTTGGGTTATACATGCAAATGGGACGATTTGAGTTGAATGAGAAATTCTATATGTTGGAGCACGTGATAGAAGTGAGGAATTTAATGCTGAGATCTTTTCAATTATGTTTGCCTGCATGGGATCTACTGAAAGCCACGTCCAGTTATTATGAGTTTATTGAACTACTGATACCGTGTGATATGATTATATCATAATTTCTAGATGGTTGGTCAAGCCGACGCTAAGCACTAGAAACTCTTAATCGTCTGTTTCGACGACAGCTCTTCCATTTTAATGGAACACAAATCTAGTGTTTAAGACCTTAACCTCGAAAGCGACACGCCAGTCGCTTGGTTCTGTGGGTTATCACAGCTCCGGTCTCTTTCGATTTGCATACATTCTAAAGTTTTGACCGTTTCTTTTAATGCTTCACAGACTGTATCTGCAGTCGAAATCGGAATCGCAATCGCAATCGCACGGCATATGAAGTTGGTATAATAATTTTTGTCACATAATTGAAGTGCCTGGCAAATGCAAAGTGCCTGGGTCGGCAAAGCAATAAGAAAGGCGAAAGGGTGTTAGCTCTGTTTATACTCAAATTCGTTCGCTATATATGTATCTAAATATATATTTATATATATATATATATGTATATATCTTATCGTTGGGTCTATGAATAGCGCACGAATTTTGATTAAACTTGCGAGTTCAATGGCATTGCAAAGTTTCTCTGAAGCGCAGGCAAAATTAAAGTTTTTTTTTTTTAATTTTTTTTTTCCATTTGGATTCCGCTCAAGTATGAAAATCCACTTACAAATATTATGTTAATTGGCATAAAAAGACAGCCAGAGAAATGAAATCTTATTACATCAGCCTGGCCAACAGAAAGGATAAGCATAACCGGCAGACAATTGGCAAACAAACAAATTGCCAAAAATAACAGTCGGCAGTGAGAAAAATTCCAACTACGGAATAAGCGAGTCGAAATTTTGATGAAATGAAATGTTGTCTG